AGGCTAAGTGTATAAGGTGCATATGAAACTTAAATTAACTAATTAACTAATGTAAATTAACTAGGGTTCTATCTCCAAAATATTTCATGAAGTATATCCAAATATTCCAATATCCAAGGAGAAAGATTAGAGTATTCCTTTAATCAGAATTCCAAAATCCAAAATTGTCCCCATGGGTGTCTGAGAGAGTGGCACCTTTGCTTTCTGGAGATTCAATGTACACAAGCTTTGTTCCAGTCACAAAATTATTAAAAATATTGTGAATAACACTGTCTCCAAGGTATTGTCGAAGGCTTTCGTAGCCGGAATTACTGGGTTATTGTGAGTTTTCTGGGTTGTATGGCCGTATTCCAGAAGCATTCTCTCCTGACATTTCGCCTGCATCTATGGCAGACATCCTCAGAGGTTGTGAGGTCTGCTGGAAACTTATTTGTACCCCGCCTTTCTCAACCCCCCAGGGGGCTCATAAATGCTTCTGGCATGCACATATGTGGTGGGATTGTCCAAAGGCAAAAACATTTTGAGAACAAATAACAGAAAAATTTGAGAAAATATTTAAGATACCACTTCAAATAAATATGGAGTTGATGTTCATGGGAATATTAGGAAACAAGAAGATCAATCCAAAATATCAAGATTTATTCAAAGCAATGATTCTTGCAGGGAAGGCTGTGATAGCTTGGGGTTGGAAAGATGCAAAAAAAATGGAATATGGTTAATTGGAATAATTATTTGTTTGACCAGGTCCAATCAGAAATTATTGCAAATGTAACCTGTGAGGATATGAAGGAAGATAAAATGAGGAAAATTAAAGAGAAATGGTTCATATATTCAGAAAATAAAAAGAGGTGAAGCCAATGTAAATATTGTACAGTGATGGGAAAAGCTGAGCTCATGGATGGAGTTAAAGTTCTAATGGAAATGTGGTATTTGGGGTGGGGGAGGGAAGGAAAAAAAACCAAAAACAAAAGAGTGAATGAACTCTAAGATATACTAGATAAGTGAGTGGATAATACTGAATGGAGGAGGTGGAGGATAATGGAAGGGTGTAGACTTGTGGTTATAGACAACATGCATGTGAACATCCTGTGGCTCCTCCATGATGACATGATGGCAACAGTCTTGGACAGCAATGGCTCCCAAAGTGACCCATTTAAGGTGGAATCAGGCGTCAAACAGGGATGTGTTATTGCCCCAACTTTATTCTCCATCTTCGTCGCTATGATACTTCACCTTGTTGATGGGAAGCTTCCCACCGGAGTGGAAATCATCTATCGGACAGATGGCAAGCTGTTTAACCTCAGCAGACTGAAAGCCAAAACCAAGGTTACAACAACATCTGTTATAGAACTCCAGTATGCTGATGACAATGTCGTCTGTGCGCATTCAGAAGAAGACCTACAAGCCACTCTAAACACCTTCACAGAAGCATACGAGAAGCTCAGCCTGTCATTAAACATCGAGAAAACCAAAGTGCTCTTCCAGCAGTCACCAGCCAATCCCTCTCCAATGCCAGAAATACAGCTTAATGGTGTAACATTAGAAAATGTTGACCATTTCCGCTACCTTGGCAGCCACCTCTCCACAAGTCAACATTGACACTGAAATACAACACCGCCTGAGCTCTGCGAGTGCAGCATTTTTCCGAATGAAGCAGAGAGTGTTTGAGGACCGGGACATCGGTAGGGAGACCAAGGTTTATAAAGCTATTGTCCTCCCAACCCTGCTATACGCCTGTGAGACGTGGACTGTCTACAGACATCACATGCAACTCCTGGAACGATTCCATCAGCTGCCTCCAGAAAATCCTGCAAATCTCTTGGGAAGACAAGCGGACAAACGTCAGCATGCTGGAAGAAGCAAAGACCACCAGCACTGAGGTGATGGTCCTCCGCCATCAACTCCGCTGGACCGGCCACGTTGTCTGGATGCCCGACCATCGTCTCCCAAAGCAGTTGCTCTCCTCCGAACTCAAACTAGTCCAATGTGGGCTAGGCAAAACTACAGTGAGATGGATCAGTAATTGGTTAAATGGACGAACCCAGAGGGTGCTCACCAATGCTTCCTCTTCATCCTGGAAAGAAGTGACAAGTGGAGTGCCGCAGGGTTCCGTCCTGGGCCCGGTCCTGTTCAACATCTTTATTAATGACTTAGATGAAGGGCTAGAAGGCATGATCATCAAGTTTGCAGACGACACCAAATTGGGAGGGAGAGCCAAGACTCCAGAGGACAGGAGCAGGATTCAAAACGATCTTGACAGATTAGAGAGATGATTGGCCAAAACTAAAAAAATGAAGTTCAACAGTGACAAATACAAGATACTCCACTTAGGCAGGAAAAACGAAATGCAAAGATACAGAATGGGGGACGATGAGGGCTGGCTCGAGAGCAGTACGTGTGAAAAAGATCTTGGAGTCCTCGTGGACAACAAGTTAAACATGAGCCAGGAATGTGATGTGGCGGCAAAAAAAGCCAATGGGATTTTGGCCTGCATCAAGAGGAGCCTAGTGTCTAGATCCAGGGAAGTAATGCTACCCATGCTCTATTCCGCTTTGGTTAGACCACACCTGGAATATTGTGTCCAATTCTGGGCACCACAATTCAAGAGAGAGATTGACAAGCTGGAATGTGTCCAGAAGAGGGCGACTAAAATGATCAAGGGTCTGGAGAACAAGCCCTATGAGGAGCGGCTTAAGGAACTGGGCATGTTTAGCCTGCAGAAGAGAAGGCTGAGAGGAGATATGATAGCCATGTATAAATATGTGAGAGGAAGCCACAGGGAGGAGGGAGCAAGCTTGTTTTCTGCTTCCTTGGAGACTAGGACGCGGAACAATGGCTTCAAACTACAAGAGAGGAGATTCCATCTGAACATTAGGAAGAACTTCCTGACTGTGAGAACCATTCAGCAGTGGAACTCTCTGCCCCGGAGTGTGGTGGAGGCTCCTTCTTTGGAAGCTTTTAAACAGAGGCTGGATGGCCATCTGTCAGGGGTGCTTTGAATGCAATATTCCTGCTTCTTGGCAGAATGGGGTTGGACTGGATGGTGGCCCATGAGGTCTCTTCCAACTCTATGACTCTATGATTCTATGTGAGGCCGCTGAGTCCCCCTTGTCGGGAGATGGGCGGGATATAAATATTTGAAATAAATAAATAATAAATAATTGTATAAATCCGCTCACAAAGCAAAATATCAATAAAAATATATTTAAAAATAAATGCTTCTGGAACATGGCCAGGCAGCCCAGAAAACTCACAGCAAGCCTTCGACAACACTTCTGACTTTTCTATAGATAGTTGTCTATACTTTTGAGAATTCCAATTGAGCATTTACAAAACTTCCAAGTGTAAACATTACAATAAAACCGAACCGAGAATTCTCCAAATATATCTAAAATCACCTAAAACTCATTCAAATATCTATATAAATAAAAATGTAATGTTCGTTTGTGCTACCATCAGAACTCAAAAACCACTGGGAGAATTGACACCAAATTTGGACACAAGACACCTAACAACCCAATGTATGTTCTCCACTAAAAAAAAAAATGATTTTGTCATTTGGGAATTGTCGTTGCTGGGATTTATAGTTTACCTACAATCAAAGAGCATTCTGAACTCCACCAATGATGGAATTGAACCAAACATGGCATACAGGACTTCCATGACCAACAGAACACACTGGAAGGGTTTGGTGGGCATTGACCTTGAGTTTGGGAGTTGTAGTTCACCTACATCCAGAGAGCACTGTGGACTCAAACAATGATGGATCTGGACCAAACTTGGCACAAATATTCCATATGCCCAAATATGAACACAGATGGAGTTTAAGGGAAATAGATCTTGACATTTGGGAGTTGTAGTTGCTGGGATTTATAGTTCACCTACAATCAAAGAGCATTCTGAACTCCACCAATGATGGAATTGAACCAAACATGGCATACAGAACTTCCATGACCAACAGAACACACTCGAAGTGTTTGGTGGGCATTGACCTTGAGTTTGGGAATTGTAGTTCACCTACATCCAGAGATCACTGTGGACTCAAACAATGACGGATCTGGACCAAACTTGGCATGAATGTTCCATATGCCGAAATATGAACACAGATGGAGTTTAAGGGAAATAGACCTTGACATTTGGAATTTGTACTTACTGGGATTTATAGTTCACATACAATCAAAGAGCATTCTGAACCCCACCAATGAGAGATTTGGGCCAAACTTCCCACACAGAAAATACTATTTTCTGATGGTCTTTGGTGACCCCTCTGACACCCCTCGCGACCCCCCGAGGGGTCCCGACCCCCAGGTTGAGAAACACTGAAATAGACCTTGACATTTGGGAGTTGTAGTTACTGGGATTTATAGTTCACCTACAGCCAAAGAGCATTCTGAACCCCACCAACGACAGAATCAGGGCAAACTTCCCACACAGAACCCCCATGACCAACAGAAAATACTTAAGGCCATCCAGTCCAACTCTCTTCACTAGGGCAAGAAAATGTAATCAGAGCCCTCCCTACAGAGAGCCATCCAGCCATAGAGATACATAGATAGATAGATATTATTCACACACACACACACAGATATAGTATCATAGATTTGAAAGAGACCCTTAAAGAAGGACTATGATATGTTGCCTGTTCCAGAGTAGGCAAATCAGACACTCTCCACATCAACAACAAGAAATACTGTTTACCCACAAGCAGAAAGAAATTACATAGATTAGAAACCAACACTTTCTCATTACTTTATTCTCCAGATCAACAGACTGGGCTACAGCAATGCCTGGCAAGGGACAGCTAGCTGTAAATACAACACTGAAACGGCTTCCCAGGCTGGTTCCTAATCGCCATTGAGGAAGGAGGAGTTCAACAGGTCGAGGCCTCCCTCAAAGGGTCCCCAAAACAGGCCCGAAGGGAGCCTGATTGGGAGTACTTCAGCTCCCCTCATCCCCAGGCGCGGCCCACGAAGCCTCCCTCTCTCCCTTCCCCTTCTCACCTCAAAAAAGGAAGGGAAGTGTCTCTCCAACCGCCTCCTTCCTTTCTTCGCCTCCTCACACGCCGCCCGCTTTCGCCTTCTCCTCGTTCTCCTCCTTCGCCGCTTCCCGGCTTCCGTCGCTCCGCCTCTTTTTCGTGCGCATGCGTAGAAAGACCCCGCGAGGAAGGGAGGAACAGCAGCGCCGCAAACCCTTTCCGCCATTTCTCCTGCCCGAGACTTCAACCTTTTGTGCGCATGCGCCATCGGGTTTTTTTTTCTCCTGCTCTGCTAAGCCACGCCCTCCACTCGCTGATGCCAACTGCTGCAAAAGCTTCCGCTTGGTCCTAGCGCCGGGACGAATATTGTGCGCATGCTCCAGGAAGAGCCTTAAAACTGGAATGGGAGTAACTCCTGCTATAGAAGCTATCTCTACACATAACAATGTTTGTTTGTATTTCACAAAGTTGCTTGGTTTTCGTTCATTTACAAAGATTTAAGACAAAATAATACCAGTATTAAAAAACTCAAAAATAACAACAGCAAAACAACAGAGGGGAAACAATCAGGCACATCAATTCACTCTCAACAAGAGATTCCCCCCAGGCGCTTCCAGGCCATTGAATGCAAATCAAGGTGTTCAGCTGAAACATTACCCTGGTCATTCCACAGATATATAAACCCATTTTTCCTAGTTCCAACAGACCTCCCTACCTCTGAGGATGCTTGCCATAGATGCAGGCGAAACGTCAGGAGAAATGCCTCTAGAACATGGCCCTATTGCTCGAAAAAACCTACAACAACCCAAAATATTATTTTCTTCTTCATCATCATAATGAATAATTATTATTATTATTATTATTGAATTATTATTATTATTATTATTATTATTATTATTATTATTATTATTATTTGCTTCCTCTATTCCTAGGACTTGGCAAACCTTGCACCTAGAAAACCTGATTGGTGAGTATAAGCAGTAATCTACATAAATAAAAATGTAATGTTCATTTGTGGGATTAACAGAACTCAAAAACCACTGGGAGAATTGACACCAATTTTGGGCACAAGAAACCTATCAGGCCAACAAGTGACCATCACTCATAAAAACACTGAAAAACATGGCAGAAGAGACTTAAAAGGCCAAAAAAACCCAAATTAAAATACAACGCATGTGCAAAACCAGATAAATATGCAAACATACGTATTTAAACATATACACACACAAAAAACACATATACACAGACTGGGCCACAGCAACACGTGATGGGACAGCTAGTATCTATATAAATAAAAATGTAATGTTCGGGTTGTAGGTTTTTTCGGGCCATATGGCCATGTTCTAGAGGCATTCTCTCCTGACGTTTCGCCTGCATCTATGGCAAGCATCCTCAGAGGTAGTGAGGTCTGTTGGAACTAGGAAAAAGGGTTTATATATCTGTGGAATGACCAGGGTGGGACAAAGAAATCTTGTCTGTTGGAGCTAGGTGTGAATGTTTCAACTGACCACCTTGATTAGCATTTGATGGCCTGGCAGTGCCTGGGGCAATCTTTTGTTGAGAGGTGATTAGATGTCCCTGATTGTTTCCTCTCTGTTGTTTTGCTGTTGTAATTTTAGAGTTTTTTAATACTGGTAGCCAGATTTTGTTCATTTTCATGGTTTCCTCCTTTCTGTTGAAATTGTCCACATGCTTGTGGATTTCAATGTCTTCTCTGTGTAGTCTGACATGGTGGTTGTGAGAGTGGTCCAGCATTTCTGTGTTCTCAAATATATGTGTCTAGGTTGGTTCATCAGGTGCTCTGCTATGGCTGACTTCTCTGGTTGGAGTAGTCTGCAGTGCCTTTCAAGTTCCTTGATTCGTGTTTGGTGTCACAACCACCATGTCAGACTACACAGAGAAGCCATTGAAATCCACAAGCATGTGGACAATTTCAACAGAAAGGAGGAAACCATGAAAATGAACACAATCTGGCTACCAGTATTAAAAAACTCTAAAATTAGAACAGCACAACAACAGAGAGGAAACAAACAAGACCATCTAATCACCTCTCAACAAAGGATTGCTCCAGGCACTGCCAGGCAATCAAATGCTAATCAAGGTGGTCAGTTGAAACATTCATCCCTAGCTCCAGCAGACAAGAGTCCTTTGTCCCACCTTAGTCATTCCACAGATATATAAATCCTTGTTCCTAGTTCCAACAGACCTCACTACCTCTGAGGATGCTTGCCATAGATGCAGGCGAAACGTCAGGAGATAATGCCTCTAGAACATGGCCATATAATCCGACAAACTCTACAACAACCCAATGTAATGTTCGTTTGCGGGATTACCGTAACGCAAAAACCATTGGACGAATTGACACCAAATTTGGACACAATACACCTAACAACCCAATGTATGTCTTTCACCAGGCTTCAACAGAAGATAGATAGTAAACCGAAACTAAGAATCCATTCCTAGCAGTTTTGGAGTCAGGGAAGAGTTTATACATGATTTGTGAGACAGGATTGCTTCGGTTGAGGCAATGTCAGAATAACGCCAAGTTTCAAGCACCAAGATCTGCCTAGTTCATGTTTTGCCAATGGGATATGCTTCTGTATTGTTCATGGATTGAAGTACCTAGTTTCATCGATTTCCTTAGACTCTTTCTTCTTGTCTTCCTTTGTATCAATGGGATTACTTTATACTGTGGATTGCTTTTTACTGATTTGGCTACATATATTCCTAAATAAACTGCTTGCTGATTTTACCCAGCTGGAGTGGTGCTTAAAGTCATCAGAGGTGATTCTGCTCTGGATTGTGTCAATTCCACTCTTGTGCGACTGAATGTGTAATGGTGCAGATCGGCAGAGCACTTTCCTGTTGTGCAAGAGTTAATCCAGCTCCGCACCTGCCATTGAATACTTACCAAACTTCCCACACAACAGGGCAAAGCTTGTGTCTCCATCCCAGGGCTTACTCAATGGCCTTGGCACAAACGGAGGAACGTCTCATTAGTTATGTAATAGCACTTATGACATGAGGAAGAACAAAGGGATGAAGATTTTGGCCATGACAGAAGATGCAGAAGCATTGCACCATCCGTCCTCCACACTTGTGGACTTTTGCAGATTTATCTCAGGGTGCATCTTCACTGCAGAATGAATCCAGTTTGACACCACTTCAACACTCATGGGCACATGCTGTTGGATCCTGGGAGTCGTAGTTTTGCAAAGTCTATAGCAGGCATGGGCTAACTTCGATCTTCCGGGTGTTTTGGACTTCAACTCCCACAATTCCTAACAGCCTACCGGCTGTTAGGAATTGTGGGAGTTGAAGTCCAAAACACCTGGAGGACCAAAGTTTGCCCATGTCCGCCTTAACCCTACCAAACATGGAAGGCTGATAAGAACTCTGTTTACATTGCCATGTAATACAGTTTCAAACTATATTATATATCAGTATAAATGAGGTCTAGATGTTTGTATCCCACTTGTGATGCAGATGCCGCTGGAGGAGGAGCCATATAGTTTAATACTATTTTAATACTGTATATATATATATTCGTTTGTGGGATTAACATAACTCAATAACCACTGGGTGAATTGACACAAAATTTGGACACAAGATACTGATCAAGCCAACGAGTGACTATCCTGCATAAAAACACAGAAAAATACAGCAGAAGAGACTTAAAAAGCCAAAACAACAACAAAAATACATTACAACGCATGCGCAAAACCACATATATGCACAAACACATATATATACAAATATATACAGACATATATGCACACACAAAACACATACACAGAAAGGGGAAAGGAGGGAGAGAAAGAAGGAGAGAAGGAAAGAAAGGTAGAGAAGGATGGAAGGAGAGAATGAAATAAAAAAGTGAAAGAGGGAAGGAAGGAGAGAAGGAATGCAAGAGAGAAAGAGGGAAGGAGGGAAGGAAGGAAAGGGACAAGGAAGGATGGAACCAAAGAGCAAAGGAAGTGAGAAAAGAAACAGAGAAGGAAGAAAGAAGAAGGGAAAGAAGGAAGGAAGGAAGGAAGGAAGGAAGGAAGAAGGAAGGAAGGAAGGAAGGAAGGAAGGAAGGAAGAAGGAAGGAGGAAATAAAAAAGTGAAAGAGGGAAGGAAGGAAGGAGAGAAGGAATGAAAGAGAGAAAGAGGGAAGGAAGGAAACAGACAAGGAAGGATGGAACCAAAGAGCAAAGTAAGCGAGAAAAGAAACAGAGAAGAAAGAAAGAAGAAGGGAAAGAAGAAGAGGGAAGGAAGGAAAGAGGGAGGGAAGGAAGGAAGGAAGGAGAGAAAGAAAGAAGGAGACAAAGAGGGAGGGAAGGTTGGCCACAGCAACGCGTGGTGGGTGAATCTAGTGTATATACATAAGCTGTATTGCAATGCTTTTAGTTATGAGCCACTTTGAGTTGCCACATGAAGAGAAAAAGTGGGATGTAAACAAACATAATAATGGTGATAATAATAATAATAATAATAATAATAATAATAATAATAATAATGTCCCGCCCCATGCCATGCAGGAAGACACAATCAAAGCACCCCTTACGGACTTATGGACGGCCATCCAGCCTGTATCTTCTACTAGAACAGCATTTCTCAAACTGGGGGTCGGGACCCATGGGGGGGGGGTCGTGAGGGGGTGTCATCAAAGACCACCAGAAAAAACATATTTCTGATGCTTTTAGGAATCGGGTTTGGTGCAGATCCATCATTGTTTGAGTCCACAGTGCTCTCTGGATGTAGGTGAACTACAACTCCCAAACTCAAGGTCAATGCTCACCAAACTCTTCCAGTATTTTCTATTGGTCATGGGAGCTGTGTGTGCCAAGATTGGTTCAATCCCATTGTTGTGGAGTTCAGAATGCTCTTTGATTGTAGGCGAACTATAAATCCCAGCAACTACAACTCCCAAATGTTAAGGTCTATTTTCCCCAAACTCTGTCAGTGTTCACATTTGGGCATATTGAGTATCTGTGCCAAGTTTGGTCCAGCTCCATCACTGTTTGAGTCCACAGTGCTCTCTAGGTGTAGGTGAACTACAACTCCCAAACTCAATATCAATGCTCACCAAACTCTTCCAGTATTTTCTATTGGTCATAGGTGTTCTGTGTGGGAGGTTTGGCCCAATTCCATCATTGGTGAAGTTCAGAATGCTCTTTGATTGTTGGCAAACTATAAATCCCAGCAACTACAACTCCCAAACGTCAAGGCCTATTTTCCCCAAACTCCACCAGTGTTCACATTTGTGCATATTGAGTATCTGTGCAAAGTTTGGTCCAGATCCATCATTTTTGAGTCCACAGTGCTCTCTGGGTGTAGGTGAACTATTTATTTATTTACAGCAGTGTTTCTCAACCTTGGGTCGGGACCCCTGGGGGGGTCATGAGGGGGTTTCAGAGGGGTCGCCAAAGACCACCAGAAAACACATATTTCTGATGGTCTTAGGAACCCTTTTGGCAGAGAAGGCTGAAGATCTCTCTGCCTGTCCTCATCCGTGTTGGTGAATGACAATCCCCAACCCCACCAGTAGTTAATGTTGGCCATGTCGGTAGTGTGCCAAGTTTGGTGCACATCCATTTTGGGGTGGGTTCAGAGTGCTATTTGATTATAGGTGATCTATAAATCCCAGCAATTACAACTCCCAAATGTCAAGGTCTATTTTCCCCAAACTCCACCAGTGTTCACATTTGGGCATTTGAGTATTCATGCCAAGTTTGGTTCAGATCCATCACTGTTTGAGTCCACAATGCTCTCTGGATGTAGGTGAACTACAACTCCCAAACTCAAGGTCAATGCCCACCAAACCCTTCCAGTGCTTTCTCTTGGTCTTGGGAGTTCTGTGTGCCAAATTTGGCTTAATTCTTTTGTTGGTGGAGTTCAGAATGCTCTTTGATTGTAGGTGAACTATAAATCCCAGCAACTACAACTCCCAAATGATGAAATCAATCCCCTCTGCAACCCCACCAGTATTCAAATTTGGATGTATTGGGTATTTGTGCCCAATTTGGTCCATCTTGCAGATTAGATATTTACATGACAATTCATAGCAGCAGCAAAATTACAGTTATGGAGTAGCAACGAAAATAATGTGATGGTTGGGGGTCTCCACAACATGAGGAACTGCATAAAGGGGTCGCAGCACTAGGAAGGTTGAGAAGCCCTGTAATTGAAGATGGGTTTTCCCCCAGAGGGCTGGAGCTTTCCAAGAAGGGAGCGAGAAAGCCTTTCCTCCTTCCTTTCCCACTGATGCATTCCACTGCAGTGTCCCCTTTTGGCCTTGGGTCAAGTCCCTTTGACCTGCGCTTGAACCCTGTCCCGGGACACAGGCTGCCACCCTGCCATCAGGCTTGGAGCCAGCACTCCTTGTATTCACAGATTCAGATCAGGTTCCTTTGCTGACTCTGGCGCCGCTCCGATTGCGTGCCCCGACTCCCCGTCTGCAAAGCATTTCACTCTTTCGAGTTATCTTTTGAGACCGGCGTCCTCGCCTGCAAGGATTCCAGCCAGGCAACTCAGCCGCTCCATGAATACTGAGGTGCTAAACCTTGCCCGGTACCTGGCTATCTATGACTATCAGTTCCAGGTTGTTTGCCTTGGCAGATAAAGCCAGACACAGGCGTGTCCCCAGGAATACCAGCAGGGCAAGCCTTCCATTTGGTCTTCTTTGATGTAATCCTTCCTGCAGAGAAAACAGGAATGCCAATGTTTTGGAATAATCTGAATGTCGGATGGAGGAATGTGTTCAATCCCTGCTCAGCCATGCAGTTTCCATGGATGCATCTACACTGCATATTTAATTAATGCAATTAGACACTACTTTAATGCTCCCATGATGTCATAGCATCGAGCCTTGGCTCTTAAAGTGGTGTCAAACTGCAATAGTTCAACTGTGCAGCTGTGCTCATGGGAACCTATTGGGAAGCCTTGGGCAGGTCACTCTCTCAACCTTGAAGTATCTTCTGAATAACTATGGCCAAGAAAACATGATAATAGGGTCACTATTACTACTACTACTACTACTGCTACTACTACTACTACTACTAATAATAATAATAATAATACAAAGACCGTGCTCTTTCAAGTCAAACCTTGAACAACAATGGTTTGTTACCTGAAGATAAACATCTGCATCAGGAGAGGAAGATTCAAGATATTTTCAAACAGGACCATTATTTATTAGAACAGCAGAAATATTCCTATCAAAGACTCAATCTAATAATTCTCAAGTGTGACAGATCAGAGGAGTCTTGCTCAACCGCTATGCTCTGCTCCATTGGGAAGAGGAGAGAAAGTCTACCGTGGAGAGTGTCAGATCTACTATGGGAAAACAGGATTCTGTACACTTTGGGCTTCTGTACACTAGGCCGTAGTTCTTGCCTAGATTCACCCTCTCAGGGCCAAGACGAAGCAATCCACAGGATTGGATTCAGAGCAGAAGGTCAGAAGGTTCGAATGAGGCCCAGGATAGAACCGAAATGAAGACACTGCCATTGTTCTTGCGCCATCCCTCTCCTGCCGCCATTGTTGCTCTCCTTCTTCATTTCTCTGGATGCTGCACGCATTCTTCTCCCATGGCATTGTCCTCCCTGCAGTCAGAGCACGGCTGCCGACATCCCCCTGGCGAAGAAGGAGACATTCTTGTCTTGGATCATGTACTGATAGACACGGAGGAGGTCACTCTCGGCTCCTGTCTCCCAAGAGCGCCGCTGGATGATGGTCAACTGCAGCAAGAAAGGAAGAAGAATTCTAAACGCATGTCTTGTGTCCAGTAGAATCAGCGTTGGAAAGGACCACAAGGGCCTTCTAGCCCAATCCTTTTGCTATGCACTGAAAGCACAATCAAAGCACCCCTGACAGATAGCCATCCAGCCTCTGTTTAATAGCCTCCAAGGAAGGAGCTTCCACCTCACTCAGAGGCAGAAAGTTCCACTGCTGAACAGTTCTTCCTCCTGATTTTTATAAATTTCCTCAATTGCATTGGTAAATTGGAAGCCTAGATCCATTTTCCTCATTAAGATTTTTTAAAAGTCCCAGTTTAAATTGTCAAAGGCCTTCTCCGCATCTAGTCAGGAAGTTCTTCCTAATGTTCAGGTAGAATCTTCCCTGCCATTTGAACCCATTGCTCCATTGAGTCCTAGTCTCCAGGACGATAATTTACTCTTTGTTCTATTTTAATATATGTATTTTGTGCAAATATGTTTTAATATGTGTATTTATATAACACTATGCAACACAATTTCTGTTCCTGGGTTATAAAATGGTTTCCGATTATAAAAACATGGGGAAAGTTTATTTATTTATTTGCAGTATTTATTAGGCATGGTTAGGTTCGGTCGAAATCTTCGTAATTCGGAATAAATTCGGAAAGATTTGCTTTTTGAAGCGATTTCAAAGTTTTTAAGGAAACCGGAAGTCCCTTTGCCCTTCCGAAGCTTTTTCCGCCATTTCTGTTACGAAGCAGTAAGTGAGTCGGACATTATTCAGCGTTTCCCCGCTTCTGGTCCCTGGCCTCGGCTGAAGCCTGGGAAGCCGTTTTAAACCAGAGTGGATGAATTTCCTCCCTCTCCTCTCCCCTCGGTTCTGTCTGGAGCCTGGGAAGCATTTTAAAACAGAGTGGATGAATTTCCTCCCTTTGCTCCCCCCCCCCCCCCCCCCCCCGCTTCTGGAGTAGAACTACTTTCAAAGTAAAGACCACACAATGAAACAGGAAATAACACTTTCAAACAATTAAGGAAGGATTCAGAAGTCTCAGAAGTTTAGAAAAGTTTTCTGTGAAAATCGGAATTGACTTTAGAATTGAACCACCAGCACCCTCTAAATCCGAAAGGAGTTTTGAACCTTTTTTTTGGAGGGGGGGGGGGATCAAACAAACCTAATATTTATATTCTGCCCTTTTCACCCCAAACGGGACTCAGGGCAGATCATGGCAAACATTCAATGCCGTTATATGTTGACAAGACAGACAACTGTACATCAATAGGCTTTTCCCATCTTTCAGGCTTGTGCTCAGTTCTGGCCAGCAGGGAGGGGGCTGTCGCTCCACTTCCCCTGCCTGAGAGCTTTGTTCATAAACTTCCCCCTTGATCTAATCACCGGCATTTTTCTGGCATTTCCTTATGGATGCCTTGAATACCTCCACGCTACCTATTTATCTACTGACATTTTGCTTTCGAACTGCTAAGTTAGACAGAAACTGGGCCAGGAGCTCACCCCGACCCAGGCTTCAAACTGTCAACCTTTCAATTGGCAAGATTTATTGCAGCTGGCATTTAACCTGCTGTGCTAAAGCCCAGCCCTTTGCGGAAGGGACACCCTGCAGCACATTTTGCTATAGTTTTTCAGTGAAAATCTCATTGAGTCTCACCCAATTCAACCTAGTTTGAGGCAGACACAAAAATGAAGTTTCTGGAGTAGAACAACTACTTTCAAAGTAAAGACCACACAATTAAACAGGAAATAACACTTTCAAACTAGGATTTTTTTTTCAAATTTTATTACATAGTGTTATATTGGAGATAGGAAGGCCATGAGCCAAACAAGACTCATGGCCTTCCTATTTACTCCCACAAGGATCATATCTACTCTTCCATTCAGTTCATGATGTCGTAACCTGCTTCAAGTCACAAAGAAAGACAGGTGAGAAATAATAATTATAATTATAATTCTGCAGGCCCCAAGTGAGGGGACTCCCTCATGATGGCGCCCCATGATGGCGAACCTATGACACGTGTGTCAGCACTGACACACATAGCCATTTTCGATGACACACAATGGCATGCGGCCGCATACAGAGAAGATGGGGCCACATCCCAAAAGGACATTTCATCCTCGGCTCCTACACCAGCATTTTTCTATAATACCGAGATATAGGGCATTATAGAAAAAGCAGGTAAGTTAAATAATTAGTTTTTTGTTTCTTAAATACAGTTATACATTACAATAATATATTTTTGTTATTAAACTATAAATATCATGAAATTATGTTTTTTTTCTCGAAATGACACCCCACCCGAGTTATGCTCGTTTTTTTGGCAAGTATTGACACACCAAGCTCAAAAGGTTGCCCATCATTGCCTTAGACTCAATGTTGGGATCATGAAAAATGGGGTCCGGTTGCCACCTAGTGACCGTTTTAGGTATTACACAAACTTGTGAGCAGCAGTGGGTCATGTTTATAGTGGACTCTGCAGAAAATGATTCCGCCATGCTTCAGAAAAAGAAAATCAAACTGTTAAGCAAGCCTTGCTAATGCTGATTTGTTACCATCTGTAAAGTCCTACTTCTATTTATTATATTGCTTTGTTACATGTAGTGGCACCGAATTGCTGCCAAATGTAAGCCGTCCTGAGTCTCCCTTCGGGGGTTGAGAAGAAATGGGGTAGAAATACCAGAGATATATAATAGTACAGGCATGGGCAAACCTGGGCCCTACAGGTGTTCTGGACTTCAACTCCCACAATCCTAACAGATGAAGTCCAAAACACCTGGAGGGCTGAAGTTTGCCCATGCTGATATATGTGTTGATTGCAGCTGACAGAAGGACCTCATTCCTGACCCCATCCATAACTATATGGCTGTCAAACCCATTCAGATGCCTTTTTGAGCCATGAGAAAGAGGAACTCACCTCCCCATGGACCTCCTTGCAGAAGCCGGTGGCCAGGCCCTTTGCCCACAGGATGCGGTGACTCTGGTGCTGGAGGGACTTTGCCAGCCGCTCGTTCTCCTCGTCTTCTGAGTCCTCGCTGCTGCGGACCATCACCACCACGTTCCCCTGAGGAAAATATAACAGGATTAGAATCTGAGGCCACATCAAGATATTCAATGTGAGCAGAATTAGAAGGAAGTGCTCCTCATTTTTTCTCTCTATTTTTTTTCTTTTTTTATCTCACTTTTTCCCTTTCCCTCCACTTTTTTTTGGGAGGTGGTAATTCTTTTTTTTTAGTTTTTTTGTCGGATTTTAATTTCTATTGTACTTTTTTTATACTATTTTCCTACTTTTCCATCCTCTTCTAGTTTATTCCCCCACTTTCCATGTAACTATATAAATGCTCAGTAAAAACTATATAAAAATAGGTTCTTGTGGGTTTTTTCGGGCTATAGAGCCATGTTCTAGAGGCATTTCTCCTGACGTTTCGCCTGCATCTATGGCAAGCATCCTCAGAGGTTGAGAAGGTCAGACCTTCTCAACCTCTGAGGATGCTTGCCATAGATGCAGGCGAAACGTCAGGAGAAATGCCTCTAGAACATGGCTCTATAGCCTGAAAAAACCCACAAGAACCTAGTGATTCCAGCCATGAAAGCCTTCGACAATATATAAAAATATTCATATTATTTTTAGTTTGCAACTCCCGTGAACCCTTTTCTGAACAAAAACAAAACAAAACAAAACCCAGTGACAGGTTCTCCTTGGGGTTGCCCCAGGTCAAAGTAACAAGAAGATATCAACAAGAGAAGCATCAGGATCCCAGAGTTTCAACCCTCATCAACTATGGAAACTCATTTGGCGACCTTAGAGCACATCACTTGGAGAATATCTCTCTCAGAGGAAGGCAATGGTAGCCCCATTCTGGAGAAACCTGACCAAAGAAACCCTAAATCCAAAACTAAGTGTCTCCATCTTCATTTTTTGAAGCTTAGCACACCAAACACTTCCTTCTTACCGTCTTTGTCAGACTTCCTGTCGCCATCCTTGCCCTTCTCTGGACAAGCCACAGCTTGATCCAATGTCTCCTTTTTGTGCCCAGAACTGGAGATGGCATTCCAGGTGAGGCCCTTCTGCTCTTGTGAGCATTTTGTGGTTGTGTAAAAAATCTTTAATGTTTTAATATGGTTCACAGTTTAATGCTGACTTTTTGGCACATTTGCAATGGCTGCTCTTTCGATGCATAAGCAGCCTTGGAGTGACAGCACAATATAAATATGTTTCATCAGCAGCACTTTCTCAGAAATTGCATAAAACCAAAATCCTCCTGCTGTCATCTATTGAAACGTTGTGTAACAGATGACATCAAGGTGGTGCCTTTCAAAAGGCTTTCAAAAGGAGGTGTTAGCTTGATTCCCCAAGGCAGGGAGAATCAAGCTGATCAATTGCAACATTCATATTTGCCTCAGACGGACAAGCACCCTGGACATCATTTCACTGGACTGTGACACAGCCTGCTGGGAGTCGGCTGCATTAAGACCACTGCTGACTAAAAGGTCATGAGTTCAAGGCCAGCCCAGGTCAGAGTGAACTTCTGACCAATGTGTGTAGCTTGCTGTCGACCTTTGCAGACCGAAAGACAGTTGCATCTGTCAAGAAGGAAATTTAGGTACTGCTTATGAGGTAAAAATCTCCAGCAAGCATGCAAAGAATGAGGAAGTATTTCATCAGTGTCACAAATGGACGGTGAAGCGACAGCTCCCCTGGTGGCCAGGATACCCTCATGAAAAAGCTGGAATGTTAAATAGCCTCTGTGTGTCCATCTATATATGTTGTGTGTCTACGGCATTGAATGTCTGCCATGAATATGTACACTGTAATCCGCCCTAAGTCCCCTACGTGGTGAGAAGAGCAGAATATAAATACGGTAAATAAATAAATAAATAAATAAATTTCACAGATATATAAAATCCTACTTGCCTAGTTTCCAACAGATTCCTCAACCTCTCAGGATGCCTGCCATAGATGTGGGCGAAACGTCAGGAGAGAATGCTTCTGGAAAATACCAGACAGCCCGGAAAACTCACAGCAACCCAGTATTTATTGTTTTCACTTTCACAAGGGACCTGTGTCCCTAGACCCAGAAAATATGGAGGGCTGACAAATAGCATGAGCAAGTTGTTTAAGAAGGTTAACCCCTTCTCCTTCGCTTGCCCTTGTTCATAGCTACTTCTGTATCTTTGCACTGCATTAATCCTCCAGTTTGGTCTGTGAACTTAAATCTGCCCTTCGCAGGCCACCCAACAGCATTGATGTTTGGCCTCAATGCTGACATGGATTGCAGAGCCCATGTTTCTGGCAGGAGGGGTCGATGCATACTACAAATACCTTTAGCTGGGTATTTATGGTGACTCTGCAGTAGTGGATGAAGTCCAGGATGTGGGTCAGCCTCACGTCCAGGCTGAGCAGGACACCCAGGTCGTCCACCATCAGCACGGGGGGCCCCCAGGAGTCTCCGGCCCCAGGGATCAGGGCTGCCCGGATGCAGTCATGCAGGGCTCTCAGGCTGGAGCCGTCTCCGCTGAAAAGAAAGACCCCAGTTACCTCTGAAAGCAACTGGAAAACTCAACAGTTGCCATTCCTTCTGCAAATGTCATGAATATATTACATGTAGTTTGTTTGTTTTTTTAATATAATTTTTTTCTTAACCACAAAAGAAATGCTATATACATAAGAAGAGGTGGAACAATATAGTGAAAGAAAAGTAGGAAATAAAGATGTAGTTTGAATGGAACTCTATGAAAGATGTATGACTGGGGTCTATATAACTATATATGGTTCTGGCCCAGCTTAGTTGTCCAAATGTATCTCCCTCTACGTCTCCCCTCACAGTTTAAGATTGTCCCGGAAGGCACTGCTCTCAGTCCCACCAGCTTCGCAAATGCGTTTGGCGGGGACAAGAGACAGGACCTTCTCGGTGATGGCTCCCCACCTGTGGAACTCGCTGCCCGGTGAGATTAGGTTGGCTTCATCCCTCCTGTCTTTCAGGAAGATATTGAAATCATGGTTCTGGGACCAGGCTTTTGGATAACAGGCATAACAGCATTTTAGATACAGAATTGGATGGGATTGGTTATATGGTTGACAAAAATGCTTTTAATTGTTTTTAATTTAATGTATGATCTATTGCAGCGGTTCTCAACCTGGGGGTCGCGACCCTCAAGGGGGTCGCTGGGCCATTTTCCGGGGGTCGCGAAGTTGCCTCGGTTGGCCCCGCCTCCCTCCAAAATGGCTGCCGGCTCCTGTGCGAGCCAAACAGCCACAGCCATGGAGGGGGCGTTTCCCGCTCGCCCCACGCACCCTCCGGCCTCGGTCATGGAAGTCCTGTACGCCAAGTTTGGTTCAATTCTATTGTTGGTGGAGTTCAGAATGCTCTTTGGTGCCTGGTGAACTATAATTCACACAAATGCAATTCCCAAATGTCAGGATCTAATTTTCCCCAAACCCCTCCAGTATTATCTGTTGGTCATGGAAGTCCTGTCAAGTTTGGTTCAATTCTATTGTTGGTGGAGTTCAGAATGCTCTTTGGTGCCTGGTGAACTATAATTCACACAAATGCAATTCCAAAAAGTCAGAGCTGAATCGGTTGGCAGTAATTCCAATCCCTTCATCCATTGTCCATATCATTAATCACTATGCTTGAATTATGTTCAATTTGTAATAATGGAAATACATCCTGCATATCAGATGTTTACATTACAATTCATAACTGTACAGTTATGACGTAGCAGCAAAACTATGGTTGGGGGTCACCACAACATGAGGAACTGCATTTAGGGGTCATGGCATTAGAAAGGTTGAGAACCACTGATCTATTGTTTTAAATTGTTGTTATATTTTTGTATTTGTCTATATGTTGTGACATTGAATTGTTGTCGAGTGTAAGCTGTCC